GAGGAGAGTCAGATGGGAATCAGCGAGCGACAAGCTTTGAACACTTTAACCGTTTAAGTTACGGTTTTCAATAAATGAAACGTTTATATTCGATTAGGAAAAATCACTTTTATCAAAATCCCTCCATTTTCATAATCTTCAAAGTCTTGTTAATTTGTAACTGGCATAATTTAACAATTAATGTATGTGTACAAAGCTCTCCAAATTATCCTCTAACTTTTTGTCTAAAATGCAGTACAATTTTCTGTAAAATTCCTGTGAAATAATATGACAGTAACTGACATTGGATTTAGATTTGATTTTTATCAACTGTTTAAGCAAAGCAGATCGGGGTATGTAATTCCAACCATTAACTTAAAGGCTTACACACCAGACATTCAACTGTGTGTAGGCCTATGTGTTACTTTGACAGAATATTTAGCTCGCACCAAACCTTTGCGAGGGGATGTTGAGCAATTATTAATTAGCTATATTAAACCATACAAATGTATCTACATCAACTATCAGTAGATGGATTAAAGATGTAATGAGGCAGTCCGGAATTGATACTGATCAATTAAACCACATAGCGTACGAGCAGCAACTACATGCACTTCTCAAGCTAAGCAAAGCTTAGTACCCATTGATCATATTTTGAAGACAGCAGGATGGTCATCCCAAAGTACGTTTGCCAAGTTCTACGACAGAACCATACAAAGGGATGTTTCTTTTGCTGAAGAGGTGTTAAAGTGTTGAAATAATTTCCAAGAGTATTTAAGATCATAATATTGATTTTATACATTTGCATAAAGCCACCAAGCAATAATGTAGAAAAGCGCACATCTAAACAACGCATGACGTCATTGTGTTTCGGGGCCATCCGGACACAAACATGTCCTGGCAATACAGTCATGTACTTAATTGTGGCAGCGAACACTATCATACTTCGGTTCCCAGACCAAAAGATTCTGAATATTTCTGACAAAGCTTAGGTCAGGTAGCCGTCAATGGCACGTGCTTAAAACGGGAGGAATTCATCCCGTATCGTATGAGGGGCGAGCTTTGCATACTGCGTAATGTTCTACATTGTATTTAGAATCTGAAGACGGTTACCTAGGAATTTTCCAAAACTCGGATTCGTCTCCATATCGGCTTTGCCTGCTGATATTCAGGTCCCTGACTTTGGGGATTCCAGCTCAGCACCAGTCAACTTGTTTTCTTATAGGAATATCGAACTGTATGACATGAAGCAAGAGATTTTTATCTCAAATTTGATCGGAACATTACACGTTTTTAATGAAAAAACTAAACCAGAAATGAAGCCGAGCTTTGAAAAAGGGCCATCATGCTTATTTTTTAGCCGTTACGGCTACCTGACCTACGATTTGTCATATAATAGTCAGAATATTTTGGTGTGGGAACCAGCCTTACACTGTTACTGAAAAATACCTACATGATTGGCCCACGAGCTCTCCCACTCCCCGCCGAATCCTCGCTCCGGATGGTCGTGATTGGTTATCGGTCTAATGATTGATTTCTTCTTGCTCCTGCGCTCTGTGTATGAATTAATTAAGGTTCAATTGGTTTGGAGATTATTGCTACTGTTTTCTTACACTGAGAATAAATACTCAACTTAAGGATTTGCACGCATGTCATATTCTTCGCCTTCTGCCTCAATACTGCGTAAACACCCTCTGGAGGGTTACATGCAGGCGTGGTGAGCTGGCAGTACGATAATCTAGTCGAGAGGGTGGGCGCGGTTTATGACGTCCCTAATGTCCCCAGTTTAAATGTCCCAAATTATGAACGTATAAAAAAAAATTGTCTTAAAGAATGTACACGTGTATTACAATTTCTTTTGATAACATGCCCTTTCGGTATTTTCAAACACAACGTGCATGTCGTGATATATAGGTTAACATATAATCATCCAGTGTTTATGTTATACTTGGCACTTACCGATTACTTCTTTTTCCGAAGAAATTATCCTTTTAGTGGAGCGGGATTTTGAAGAGGCATTCCTTCCTTCACTCAGCAAGAAAAGTGTGATTCTGTACGCAAGAGCATATCGCTGATTCATCATCGAAGAACAATACATTGAAGAAAATTGTTAACAATTTTAAAGCGAATGTTGTCACTAGACTTCATAAGTTGTAGCGGATCACATTAACATAAACAGCCTATACGTAGGTTTATTTTAACATGAATAAAACAGAGCACCAGTCTGCAGGATATGGCTCATTACCGTCGTAGACCTATGTTGCCTGCCCGAAACCAAACTTTCATCATAACCAGATTTCTAAAACCACGGCTTCGTTCCAGCTTCGGCCTCATGCTCAAGCTTCGCATAAGTATACCCAGCACGATATGAGACGGAGGCGTAAAAAAAAATGACCTAAGACGGAATGCAGGTGCATCGTCAATTGATAGGAAATTAAGAAAACATATCTGCTTAAAGCCTTATGCATGTATGTATGTGCCAAACTGAAATAATGGTCACCTATCATCATAATACATTGAAGAACATCAAAAATATACATAGGCAAATACTTCTCAATCTAAAGTTTTCAAAGCCAAAAATGTGTGCTCAAAATATTAATAATTTGCTGCTAACAGCGATGACCCGAAACACTGAACTCATCGATCAGAGCCCGATAACCCCTCCCCCTAAAAAAAAGAAACAGGAAATACCCAGAAAATGTAAGTAGCATCTTCAGATATTAAAAGAGAATAAGTGGATATGGAAAACCTGAATCGGACCCATGGCAGAACAAAGTTTGGTTTCCTTCCACAGGGTGAGTAAAAATAAACGAAACCCAAATGTCGGGACAATTGTTTTAGTGAAGTTCTTCATGTAGCACTTTCCAAATCTAGAATATGAAAGCCCAATCAATAAGCTTTCTTTTATTACAACAATTATTCAAATCACTCACGTACTTAGTGAGTTACGGAATTTTAAACACAACCACCGTTTTCAGGTTCTGTCCACGGATCACAAAAAAGTTCCATGTTCTTTCAGCAAAACGAAAACAAATCACATAGGGATGTGTGTGTGAATTGTTTTTCGTTTTGCTGAAAGAACGCACGCCTTTTTTGTGATCCGTGAACAAAACTTTAAAACGGTGGTTGTGTTTAAAATTCCGTAACTTGAAAAATACATGAGTGATTTGAATGATTCGTGTACTAAAAGAAAGCTTATGGATTCGGCTTTCATATCCTAGATTTTCACAAAGTGCTACATGAAGAATTTTACTTAAACAATAGTCCCGACATTTGGGTTTCGTTTTGTTTTTGACTCACCCTGTATGAGAACTTCCCCTAAAACACCTGTCGGGCATCTAGTTTACACAATGGGCAAGATTTAGCCCATTCATTGGTGACGGGCTCTCTTCGCCAGTCTAATTAGGTGTCAGTCGGGGAGTCAGTCAGTCAGTGAGACAGGTACAGACTCGGAGAGAAAAACTATAGACGTTATGCGTAGCAGCCATCTTAGAGGGCAATGCCTTTGTTTTGCTGGGATGTGCACGAGTGAACCTTTTGTGCGTTCATTGCGACTGAATTAAATAATGAAAGGTTTGCGGAAACACCATGTGCGAATAATTTCTCAACTAAGAGAATGTTTCTGAAAAGAACCAGAGGTATAAACTCGACGTTCCGGTCAGTATGCTCTGACCGTCTTCAGGAAAATGCCTAAACTCTAAGAAGGTAAACACTTATGTGGCAGAAGCAAAAGCGATGAAGTGTGAAGTTGCATCCTGTGTGGATGCCAAGTAGCTGGGATCCTAGAGCAAGCTTACTGCCCACTGAAGTGGAACAGTAGGGTTGCAGTCTCAGTAGAGGGAGGACCTAGGGTATAGTAGACCCATCAGTCTAAGGTGGAGGTTAAGGACCTAGGGTATAGGAGACCCATCAGTCTAAGGTGAAGGTGAAGGACCTATACTAGGGTATAGGAGACCCATCAGTCTAAGATGAAGGTTAAGGACCTAGGGTATAGGAGACCCATCAGTATAAGGTGAAGGTGAAGGACCTATACTAGGGTATAGGAGACCCATCAGTCTAAGGTGAAGGTGAAGGACCTATACTAGGGTATAGGAGACCCATCAGTCTAAGGTGAAGGTTAAGGACCTAGGGTATAGGAGACCCATCAGTCTAAGGTGAAGGTGAAGGACCTATACTAGGGTATAGGAGACCCATCAGTCTAAGGTGAAGGTTAAGGACCTAGGGTATAGGAGACCCATCAGTCTAAGGTGAAGGTGAAGGACCTATACTAGGGTATAGGAGACCCATCAGTCTAAGGTGAAGTGAAGGACCTAGGGTATAGGAGACCCATCAGTCTAAGGTGAAGGTGAAGGACCTATACTAGGGTATAGGAGACCCATCAGTCTAAGGTGGAGGTTAAGGACCTAGGGTATAGGAGACCCATCAGTCTAAGGTGAAGGTGAAGGACCTATACTAGGGTATAGGAGACCCATCAGTCTAAGATGAAGGTTAAGGACCTAGGGTATAGGAGACCCATCAGTCTAAGGTGAAGGTGAAGGACCTATACTAGGGTATAGGAGACCCATCAGTCTAAGGTGAAGGTGAAGGACCTAGGGTATAGGAGACCCATCAGTCTAAGGTGAAGGTGAAGGACCTATACTAGGGTATAGGAGACCCATCAGTCTAAGGTGAAGGTTAAGGACCTAGGGTATAGGAGACCCATCAGTCTAAGGTGAAGGTGAAGGACCTATACTAGGGTATAGGAGACCCATCAGTCCAAGGTGAAGGTTTAATAAGGACCTAGGGTCTAGGAATAAAAACAACAAAAGAAGGTTAAGGACCTAGGGTCTAGGAATAAAAACAACAAAAGATGCCTTTAAGATGGCTGCTAAGCATATGGTCTTTGAATCTTCTAGGTCTCTACAAATTGTCTAAGATAAAATGAAAAAGTGGAAACAAATAGTTATTGTCAATATGCTTTATTTTCATGCATACTCTCGTATTTCAAATACTGAAATCTTTTAATGAAATATAATCATGCATAATGTTAGCGTGCATAGTTTCATAACTAAATACGATTTGAACAACACTTTATTGGTACGGATTGATTAGTATATGAATATTTTGTGCCTGCTGTAAACATTTCATTATCAAAATAATTTTGTTCTTTGTTAATTACAGGTGGTACATGATTGTAAACATGTTGGGAAAGGCAATACCTTGTTCCTTGCTATTTGCCTGGCTACACCGTGGACAAATTTGTTCCTCCACGTGTAGTTCATGATTTTGTTTGCACACTGCATTGGTGTATACAATAATGGGGATTTTTGTGGCATGGTGATTGTCAGAGTAGCATGAAACGGCCACACTGTCCACGGAAGAGAAACAAGAACAGTTAAAATGGATAAAATATTTCAATTGTTGATTTCAAAAATAAGTCATCTCTCCATTTGGGTTAGTTGCAGTCTAGATTTATTTATTTTTGGAAGTCTTGCCATGTTATATTTGCGTATTTATCTTAATTTGTTTTCTCTAGGCGAAATATACTAAATTAAAGAGTAGAAAACAAACACAACCATGATCGTCCTTTACTTTTGGTCGTACATTACTAGGAAATCAAAGTGCTTGAATTTTTGTTTGATCAATTTCTTTTTTCCCCCTAAAGCTGAATTGCAAGTTGTCACATTATTTAAGCCACATAGGCTGAAATCTGGGTGCGCTGTCGCTGTCTCAACGAAACTTGCAGGTCTGCCCTTTGCTGCAGCGCTCACACAGGTCACTCCGGTGGGGCTTCTCCGGGTCGTTGTGACGCTCATCGTCATCATCATGGTCGCAAAGGCAGCCGTCGTTGGACCCACATTTCGGACATTTCAGACGCTCCACCTTGTAAGGTTTGATGTAATCCTTGGGACAGCCTGGATTCTGGCACTGCTGGCCAGAAGAAGGCTGTGAAATAAAACAGATCGAGTCACACATCAACATTCACAAGAATCGTGAAAATAATCCATGTGTAGCAAAAAGCTGCCACAGACAACAGTCGTATAAACTACCCGTTTGAAAAAAAATCAGGAAAAGTACGAGTCACAAATAATTAACCATCAGTTCGTGTTCTATTTTTTTTCGAATGGGGGGGGGGGGTCATCCGATGGTATTCTATTCGGGCCCAATTTCACCAAGATTTCTAGAAAAAAAAGCTTCGGATTTCGGAAATAAAGAAGTTATGTGAAGTAAAGCTTATCAAGTTATACTTTTTTTTCAAAATATTTCAATTTGACGAGTTTGATGATTATCATAAATGATCAAAAACAAATTCTCAACGTCGGGTCAATCGATCATGCACACTACCATTCGGTATAAAGACAATCACATACCGTGCATCAAAATGACACAGAAGCCCGTAACTACAGGCTGACGCCAAAAAAATGCAAACCTGAAACATAAATTGCCTTTTGATCAAAAACATGATCTGTGCATTTGTATGTTTTGGGTATCAGATTAAAAGGCATTAAAAAAAGCACATTTTGTTGCTGAGCAAAATGCCACTAATGTAACACAACTCCTTCTTGGTCCATTCCAATGACATTAACACAGTTAATGGATTTACACTTATGCATGAAACGCATGTAGCGCAGTGTGCCCTAATCCTTACAAACAGCACTGCACATAATATGACAAGAGTACAAAGAATTTGATGCAAATACTTGTTATTTTCCCTCCTGAACAGGTATCTCATCCTTTAAAGTCCTATTTTAAACCTTTTCAGCATCACAAATATGCCAAAATATTAAAGAAATTGCAAAAGTGAAAGATTGCTCATACAGTAAAACAATTCCCTGGATGAAAAATCCCCCTTCTTTTACATAACTGGCATGTTCTCAGCAACCCGATGTGCTGTTTTCATGATTTTTTTTCTTCAGTTTTTGAAAGAAAACGCTGTCAGCTTTAATCTGATACCCAAAACATAAACATTCACCAATCACGTTTTTGAAAAAAAAGGCAAATGTTTCAGAGTTGCCTTTTTTTTTTCTATGTTGGAACAAAACGTCATCGGCTATACCTCATCCGTGTCCTCATAGCACCAGGCGTGTGCGCTCTCCCAGCCCCGCTTGCATTTTGGACAACTGAAGTAGCCGTATCGTCGCCGAGTTGACATCCTGAATTCCAGTCTTTAACGTCCTGCAGATTAAAAAAATAGCGTTAATAGGGACCACGTCCTTATGATTTTTTTTAAAAATACATTCGTCGTTAAGTCGTTACCCGGATTTTCATGTCGGTAAGCCCTTAATTATTACACTTTAATCGTATTCATTAATATGAAAAAGGAAAGTATTTGGAACTGTTGGAAATATTTTTGTATATCATCAGACCCGCCCTTTCCTTGAATTCTCAAAAATGTAGCTACGCGACTGTTTTAGTGATTTTGCAAATAGCCCCTTGAACTGAAGTAACACCGATTAAAAAAGTCAGCCCTAAATACATTGTGCCAGCTATATAACTTTATATAGCGTGAGGCTTAATTAGCCAAATTCTAGGTATTGAGTTTTACCTTTCTTTAGTAGAAATCGTAGTCTTTTCCAGAGCAACTTCAAAGTGATGGTGTCCGTTGACAAACCAGCAACTACGAATGTGGGATAAAAAGCACCAGATGCTGCGTTTCGCTGGTACCCCCGCCCTGCAAACAGGGCGCTGGGATACGCTGATGAGCTTCACAGAATCTTGTGAAGGAAGTGGCCTTTGACCTATGTATAAAGCATCTGGCTGCAGCTGTTTAAGACCGCAGTTAGCCAATGCACGCAAATGCTATCCGAAAACTTTCCCATAGAAATGCGCACATTCCATACCGGATGTGATTTCTGTTCATTGTGGACCATGTGGACAAATTGTGAGCGTCGCATTATATGCAATCTGACCCATCGTGAATTCGAAACGGAGCCTGAGCAAGTGACGAGAATTGAAAATTTACAAAATATATACGTTTTACAGATTTTCTTACATTTTACGCTTTTCAACGAAATAAAGCATTAATGAATGGGAATAAAAGAGTAATGGATCAGTCTAAAAACCGGCCGTTTCAAACCAAGCAGAGCCATGGCCGTGATGACGTGCAGGTCACAGGTCATGCAAAATCAATCCAATCAGAGCGTGAATTCATCAGCGTATCCCAGCATCCTGTTTGCAGGGCGAGGGACGAGCGAAATGCTGCGTACGCATGATACATTATTCAGCGATGTGCAAAGATCGCGATTGCATGCTCGGGGAAAACCCGCGTAGAGAAACACCGATGAATCATGCAGTTGCTAGGCAATGATAATATGTAGCTGAATAACACGGGCATTTGCTAAACATGGAAAATATTTGCTTAGCAGATACGGGTTACCAGCCAAAATGTCATGCACTGGTCATAACTGGGTACCAACGGGTTTATACGCTTGGCTGAACTATATTTTTGGCTCAGCCGCGAGTCCATCAAATTAGGCTCATAGGCCTATTAAGGTGAAGTTTTTCAATTTGTTGACTGCTGTGTGACGATCGTACGAGGAACATAAAAGGGGCGGATCCAAAGGGGGTGGGGTGGTGTGGCTATAACCGCCCCCTCCGACTGCTAATTTGCATAAATGGTAAAATCCCAAATTTCCTTTTAAAAGTTCCCTGACCACTCAATACTGTAAATCTTGTGTCAGTGCCTCAGGCTTTTGATCGTTTTATGCGTTGACTGAGACTAATCGGCACATCAACCATCCCCTCTTGAAAACTGTTTTAGCCACCCTTTAAAAAAATCATGGATCCGCCAGTTTACTGCATATGGTCATGCGTCACGAGCCACATGTGTTATTGATCATGGTGTACAAGACATCACCATGCAGTCACCATTAAGTGTTATCATATCGTGCCATCATACGTTTAAAGAGATTAAAGAAATTGTGACTTCATCATCTTAATTATCGCGGTGTAACCTTTAATTTATGAGGGCTTTCTATAATCGTCCCGCCAGATATGAATGCTATCTCAAACCCATACTATTTGTCATGTGACCGTTTCAGACCAATGGTATACCGAAGACACGATAACGAGCTTATAGTTTCCGTCTTTTATTCAAGAATATTAAACTATGCACAATAGTATTTGCCACTGAAATAAATAACGCAGCATATATTTTGCTACTCAAACGAAAGAACTATACTGTGCATGCCTACAATGAACACAAATAGATTTAGTTTCTTAACATCATCAGCATAGTGGTAGAAATATCTACAATATCTTTCCAACTGTATCAATTATTCTAATCTGTTCGGTACGGAGGGACGTGTTAGGGATATCAGTAAAGTATCTCGCTGAAGGACACAAAAATCCTATCACAAACTGGCTGATGAGGTAATCCAATATTCTTATCTGTTGTTTTCCCCCCTGATGGGGAATTCTAAAACCCTATGCCGCTGATGCGAGAATTGTTGCATAAATCATATAGTTACACGCTTTGGGGTTTTCCTTCATATGCTATTTTTAGTTATGATGCCACAGACTACTTTTTTCCTGATGGGGAATTCTAAAACCCTATGTCACTGATGCGAGAATTGTTGCATAAATCATATAGTTACACGCTTTGGGGTTTTCCTTCATATGCTATTTTTAGTTATGATGCCACAGACTACTTTTTTTTACAAGAAACGCAGAATACATAAACAACTAAATGCTATAAAGACTTGCACGCTGATTTATACATGTATAATAAAACTTCATGGTAAACATTTTACATCATGAACAATCGTAACCACACTACTACCAGATTAAATTCAGTTCAGTGAATTAAAACTATACGCAATAGGATACATCAGCATTATATAATTTTTCTTCATAGGTATTTCCATAGCTCCAATGCACAAAAATATATAAAAATACAATCACTCAATTTCTAAAAAAAAAATCGCATTTGCGTATTCATCTTAATTTGGCTATTCTAGGCAGAAAGTGTATACTTGAAGAGTAGGTAACAAAACCAACCATCGTCTTTATTTATTTTTGTCGTGCATTGTTCAAAATTAAAGTGCTTGAATATTTTGATATATATCTTTTGTCTACAACTGAATTGCAAGTTGTCACACTATTTGAGCCACATAGTTTGAAATCTCTGGGTGCCGATGCCGCTGTCTCAACGAAACTTGCAGGCCTGACCTTTGCTGCACCGCTCACACAAGTCGCTTCGGTGGGCCTTGGCTGGGTCGTTGTGACGCTCGTCGTAATCATAACCATAACCATATTCATCACTATCATCGTCAACAAGGTGGCAAATGCAGCCGGTGTTGGACTGACATTTCGGGCATCTCAGCTTCTCCACCTTGTACGGTTTGATGTAATCCCTTGGACAGTCTGCATTCTGGCACTGCTGGCCAGACGAAGGCTGGAAAATAAAACAGATCAAGTCACAGCACAGAATCATCATTCACGAGAATCGTTAAACTCACCATGTACAGAAAGAAGTTTCCGACTAGTAAATAAACTGCCACAGACAAAAGTAGTACCGGTACTAAACCTTTTATCAACCATTATTAAAAAACCAAGAAAAACACAAGTCCCAAATAGTTAACATCCGATCGTTGTTTTTTTTTTTTTTTATCTCGAATGGGGAGGGGGGGGGGGTGTGTTTCATTCGATGACTTTCGGGTCCAATTTCACCCAGATTTCCATAAAAAGAGCTTTTCATACATTCAAAATGTATGGGCCAAAACTCTGTATAGCATGCATATCGTGGCATGATTTAGAGCGCCTTATTGCAAGTGGACCCTAATTCGGCCGGATTTTACTGCAGCATCACACAGGTCTAGTACGACAGACATGTGACGGGATTATGTGCCTTTGATGATACAAGCATGGCATTTGGCACCGTAGTCAGAGTATTTCATGAGAAAGATATATGGCTACAGGGCATCGGAGATTTTTCCTCTGAAAAAAATATTTAGAATAACAAGCAATGGCAGCCATTTTGAAAATATATGATACCTATATTTTTTTCACAGAACTAATCTGCAATGGCCCAATAGCCAAATATGTTTCTCATGGCATACTCTATGTACACGTCATGCTTGTATCATCAAAGGCACAGTTGCCCCAAATATTTCCCCTATAGCTATCTGCCCTAGTAGTTAGAGCATCAAAATGTACGACGGCCTGTTTTTCCCCCTATAGTAGTGGGATTGTTCGGAGATAAAGATTTTTTGCAAAGCAATGTTAAACAAGTTACAATTTCTTTCAGTTTGATGATCATAATAAAATGATAACAATTTATCTCAATGTGATTGTCCGGTCAATCAATCATGCACATTACCATTCGGTATAAAGACAATCACATATCGTGCATCAAATGACACAGGAGCCCGTAACTAGACTGAGTGCCCATACACATGTACTGTACATGAACGTGAAATAGCGTGTCTTGCACGTTCTATATTATGTTTGAATAAGTTTTCCTCGGCTATTGGCTACCTCATCCGTGCTCTTGTAGCACCAGGTTTGTGCACTCTCCCATCCTCGGTTGCATGTTGGACATCTATAGTAGCCGTATCGTCGCTGAGTTGACATCCTGGATTTTTCTCTTAACGTCCTGCATATGAAAAAAATAATATCGTTAAATAGGGAACACATCACTGATGGTTTTTCTAATACAAGTCGTTACACAGTTATGCGGGTCATGTTTGTAAGCCCTTAACACTTTAAATAATAGTAATTAGTGTGAAGAGAGAAGTACTTGCAACTGTTGGAATTAGTTTTGTACACCATCAGATATGCCCTTTCCTTGGATTTAAATAAATATATATATAGCTACGCGACTGTTTCAGTAAGATTTGGAAATAGCTGCTTGAACTGAAGTAACACTGATAAAAATTAGCATTAGGAAGGTAAACATTGTGGCCGATAGAGCTTTATATAGCGTTGAGGCCTAATCAGCCAAATTCTACCCCGCATATTCCAGTTTTACCTTAGTAATCGTAGTCTTTTCCGAGCAACTTCAAAATGATGGTGTCCGTTGAGTAGACAAACCAGCAACAATAAGAATGGGTGATCAAAAAGCACCAGATGCATACGCATAAAATTAACCAGCGATGTGCAAAGATCGCGATTGCGTGCTTGGGGAAAACCCGCGCAGAAAAATGCGATGAATCATATGTTATTTATAGCTGCACATGTTATTTATACCTGCATAACATAACACAGGCATTTGCAAAACAGATACGGGTTACCAGCCAAAATGTCGTGCTCTAATCATAACTGGGTACCAGCGGGTTTATACGCTTGGCCGAACTATGATTTGTGCTTAGCGGGTCCATCATTATAGGCTCATAAATATTAATTTGTTGATTGATGTGATGAGGAACGTAAAAGGGGCGGATCCAAGGGGGGTGGGTTGGTTATAATCTCCCCCTCCTAATGACTAAAGTTGCATAATGGAAAAATCCCAAATTTCCATTTGAAACTTCCCTGAATATAACGTCAGTACGGTGGCTGATTTCCGCCAAGAATACATTTTTTTTTTATTACGGCGTTATAACGCGATAAATAATTTTATCGCGTTATAACGCCGTATTATCGCGTTATAACGCGCTATTATCGCGTTATAACGCGCTAATTTATCGCGTTATAACGCCCTAATTTATCGCGTTATAACGCCCTAATTTATCGCGTTATAACGCCCTAATTTATCGCGTTATAACGCCGTATTATCGCGTTATAACGCGCTATTATCGCGTTATAACGCGCTAATTTATCGCGCTATAACGCCCTAATTTATCGCGTTATAACGCCCTAATTTATCGCGTTATAACGCCCTAATTTATCGCGTTATAACGCGCTATTATCGTCCTTACATTGTACTGTTTAAGTGATTCTGAACGGGAACCTCGTATTTTGAGTTTAGTAGGAAGGGGCGTAATCATACATGTCGCCACTACATTTTAAGTTAAATGGAATGGAGTTTGGCCGCCACCATGCATTTAAGTTTTTATCAGACTTGTGTTTTCTTAAAAAGAAGTGGTTTTCTGGCTAGTAAAATAGCAAGGAAGAACCGGTTTTGTGCAAGCAAAATTCAGGGAATAATCTGTTGATATTAATAACTTGTTGGAAAGTTCCAAGGTCATTCCAAGAAAGTTGCCGCCGTGAATTAGGGTTTAAAACATGGGAGGGGGATGGGATTTGCTATCAGCATCAGCAGGGCCGTTCCTCATTCTTTTCTTTTTATGGGATGTATGATAACATTGGAGTACGAGGGGCTCTGCGAGCTGATGAATCTTTTTGAAAACATTGTGTTTGCAACCAGCTAGGGAAGATTTTCGTTTATTTAAGACTTACAAGCACTGGTATGAATACCTGTGTAGTTATATGACTAAACTGCCTAGAGCGTATTTTTTTTAGGTTTTTTTCCCTTTTTTGGAAATTCAATACGCATATAGGGAGTAAAATCAGTTCCACTGCTGGGTTGCGGTGATGGGTGGGTTATAACTTGTCAACACATAGCGGGCCCATTAGATTGGTGATAACCGGAGAGCGGGAGTTTAAAAAAAAACTCATCCGGTGTTTAGGCGACGCAGGGACTGGTTTGTGTACATGTGGTTTTTGTTTCTAGTTCACTTAATGTTTTGATTTATACCGGTGATAATATGCCGTCCCACCTGTTTTTCTTTTTTGTGTGTCGGGGGAAACAGTGCATATTTTCTGTGCCCTTTTTACGCACTTCATCAGTCACCCTTTGTTTAATTCTTTTGTACGTATTTACTTTATTGCTAATGATGGTAAAGAATATTTTACGCGTTAGCTTTTCTTGTAATGATCAGACTAAGTGGATTCCTTATTTTTTATTTTTATTTCGAAATCCATGCCTAAATGACCATTATGTTAGTTCTGTTCTTCAAGAAGTTCCAAAAGGATTTGAACGTTCTCCTCATCCAAGTTTTTTTCTTGGTTGGATGGTGGAGATGGGTTAATCCTTGATCGGACCAGGCCATCTTTTATGTTTTTTTGTCGTTTGTATGCCAGGATGGGTTGGGTCGCAAAGAGTGCACTGAGAAAATCATTATCGCTGATCAGATTCCAGTGTTTCAGAAGGGCCTGCTTAAGAGCTGGGTGTTTAATTTGTGGGTTGTAGGGTAAAACAAAGACCAGCGGGATATTCTTTTCGGTTTTTACACGCTTTTTAGATTCACGCGAGTTTCGCCTTTTTGGGGAAGAAGGGCTAAATCTTCTTGGTTGTATCCGCGTTTTTGTAGTTTGTCTTTGAAGAATTCATCCTTCTCCTCAAATTCTTTTGAGTGTGTGCATATACGGTCATATCTCATTATTTCTCCCTTAATCAAACCGCCAAACACTGACTCAGGGTGGGCTGAATCTCGAGCAAGATACTGAAAGGTATCAGTTTTTTTGGTTGCTACTCGAGTATCCAGTTTCCCTTCTTTTTTGAACCGTTCGCCTTTGTAGATGACGAGGTCGAGGAAGGTGACTTGACTGTTTGAAATCTCTGACGTGAACTTGAGCGTGGGATGAATTTGGTTTAGAGTTTGGACGAGGTCACCGGCTTGGTCTTCGTTACCGTTAAATATTATTAAGACGTCGTCCCTGTATCTCATGTAACTCACAATTGAAGGATTGTGTGGGAGAATAATTTCTTGTTCATATTTGAACAGGGTTATATCGCATATTTCTGGACTGCATTCGCTTCCCATAGCCACGCCAATTTTCTGTCTGAAGAACTTTCCATTGAATTCAAATATGTTTCGATGCATGATAAGTTCCAGGAGACAGCGAGCGTGTTCTCTTGTAGGTTTGGGTATTGCGTACAGACTGTTATCGGCAACTTCAAGTGCATCGCAGACTGATTCAATTGCCTCATCTTGTGGGCAATTCGTATACATGGACACAATATCCAATGTGATCAATAGGCTATCCTGCTTCAATGTCACGTTGTTTAGTTTTTCAAGCACATGCCCGGAATCGCGTGTATATGTGCTTTGTTGTTTGAAAATCGGAAGCAGAAAATAGTCTATGTATTTTGAAATTGCCTTGATTGAGTCGGACCTCCGCAACCACTAATAATAGGCCTCCCCACAAACCGCGTTTCTTTGGGTGATTCTTTTAATTTGTGAACTTTCGGTAAGAGGTAGAGGCAAGGAGTTTTGATCTCGTGGTTGTCATGGTTGAGAAACTCAAATGTTTTTTTGGATATATCTACACGGATGGTGTATAATGTGCAAATGGATCCGAAAGCGGGCAAACAATGCACGCCTACATGCACTGAAGTAAAATGGATGCGTGTACTGTAAAATTATGGCGCCGCAATAGCGCGTTATAACGCGATAAATTACGGCGTTATAACGCGATAATAGCGCGTTATAACGCGATAATAGCGCGTTATAACGCGATAAATTAGGGCGTTATAACGCGATAATAGCGCGTTATAACGCGATAAATTAGGGCGTTATAACGCGGTAAATTAGGGCGTTATAACGCTATATAGCGCGTTATATCGCGATAATAGCGCGTTATAATGCGATAATAGCGCGTTATAACGCGATAATACGGCGTTATAACGCGATAATTTATGGCGTTATAACGCCGTAATAAATAAAAAAATGTATTCTTGGCGGAAATCAGCCACCGTAGACACGTCACATCAACCACGCCCTCTCTTGAAAAAATGTTTTCACGCGTCATGAGCTATATGTGTTATTGATCATGGTGTACAAGACATCACGGTGCAGTCCCCATTAGGTTTTATCATATCGTGCCATCATAAGTTAAAGAGATTAAAGAAATTGTGACTTGCACAGCAAGAAAGCAACTAAATTATCGCGGTGTAATCTTTAATTTATGACAGCTTTCTATAATCATCCTGCCAGATATGAATGCTTTCTCAAACCCATACTACTTGTCACGTGACTGTTCCAGACCAATGATATGATACTACCCAAGACACGATAACGAGTTTATATTGTGCATCTTTTTATTCGACAATATTAAAATAATTATGTACAATTATATGAGTATTTTGCAACTCATGCCTATATATACAATTCATAAATACCTCAGACAGTTTAGCCATTCCTATTGGTGGAGAGCCCGTCACGTGGCCGGTATTAAACGGATGATAAAGACATGGCTAGCTGGTCTTAAACACTTTTCCAGTGTCACAATAAAATGTGGACTCCTAAAAATCCAGTGCCTCTTATCGTTTCATTGGTTGAACGTTCACAATCCTCACGTAGGCATGCGCAACACTACCAGGGAGTTAGAATTTTATAGTTCTAAATTCAAAACGCAACGCGCCAGGTGCGTTCTGCGCGACATCGCATAGAACATGATACGCGCGCGTCAATCTCCATAAAAGGGTTGTTTTCATCTTACTCGCCAGCTGAACACTCCATTATTTTGCAGGAGGGATGATTCAAAAAGCATAAAGTGAATTGAACAAAATCGGGATGTTTTGAATGAATTATATGATTTTTTTTTACCGAAAAGGTATTTATGAATGGGAATAAATATGTACTCCGTCGGTATTTATCACTCTGTTTAATACCACTTAGAGTCTGGGTGCTGATAATTACCCTCGCCTCCGGCTCGGGTAATTATCAGCACCCAGACTCTAAGTGGTATTAAACAGAGTGATAAAAACCTCCGGAGCACACATTTATTCCCTTATTAATACCAATCGTATAGGTTTAGAGTTTCTTGACATCATCGTTGCAATGCATTGTGGCAGGAATTTCTATAATATATTTCCAACTTTATCCATTTTTCTAATACTGTACGGAGGGATGTGATAGTGTAAAGTGTCTCGCTGTAAAGGACACAAGAATTCTATCAGAAACTAGCTGATGAGGTAATCCAATATTCTGAGCCTTATTTCTTTCTGGTGGGGAATTCTAACATCATATCTCTTATAAACATTTTGCATACCATGCCGCTGATGTCAGAAATTGTTGCGTAAAGTCATAGTACATGCTTTGGGGGTTTCCCCGGTTGTGCCGTGTGCCAATTTTTAGTTCATACAATGCCACTGTCTTGCTACTTCTTTAAAAAAAAAAAAACACCCACACTATATGTATTGCTGTTGTATAAATACATGCACGCTGCAATGTTTTCAACCATTCCAGCTTGGTTTATCTGAGTTTTTACAGCTTCAACTATTATATTAATGCTTAATCGATCTACTTCTTCTTCTTTTTCTCCGGTGAGTACATCCCTCCATAGTGGAGTATAGTCGTTATCTATACCATGTATGCCCTACATACATCTTCATCGGAAACATTTCACAATACGAGCACAGCTATTCGTAACCACACTACTATCAGATTAAATTCAGTTGTGAAACTATACGCAATATTGATGCATCAGCAGTGTTTTTTTCTTCATATTTTGTTTTTACTACACAGACACGGTATTTCTATAGCTCCAATGCACACAAAAGATATACACAATGGGCGTCGCAAGGGGGGGGGGGCAAGGAGGAGCTCTCCCGAAAAGCAACGCCTCCCCTGCCCCCCCCCCCCCCAAAAAAAAAGGAGGGGAAAAAAGAAGGGAAAAAAAGAATTGCGAAGTCATATTGCTGTTAATTTAATGTACATAACAACATGGGCGTCTGCAGGGGTGTGAATGGGGTTTGGGTGGGCAAATGTACCCCCCCCCCCCCCCCCCCCCCCCTGGCAAAAATGATAAATTGAGAATATGCTGGAGAAAGTACAAGGATTTTGGGAAATATTGTGCTTTGCCCCCCTCTAGAAAAAAATCCTGGCGACGCCCATGTATATACACACACAATCATCAATTGCCTATCTCTGTTTTAGCTTATTGCAAGTACAAGCGTAAAACAACTACTTTATTTGTATAAAAATGATTGTCTACGGCAACATTTTTAAACAGGATAACAAGATAAAATTGAAAAAGTGAAAACAAATAGGCCTAGTAAAAGTCAATATTCTTCATTTTCATGCATGCTCTCATTTTTTAATTATGCTTTAATGGAATATGATTATGCATAATGTTCGTGTACATAATATAATTTCATGACTAAAAAAATATTCAAACAAAAATGCAATGTTATGGATTTTTTTCCATAGATTATATACACACCTGGTGTAAGCATGTCATTATTAAAATTCAATTACATTGTGATACATGATTACGAACATGTCGAGAAAAGCAACTTAAAGCTACAGTCCATCATTTGCAGCTATCCGAAAAGTAACTGGTGTAATTATTGTTGGAAAACATTCTTGGTTGAAAGTTAGTAAGGGGACTAAACTCCCTGTGAAATTATTCTTTCTGACAAGCTGTCATATTGAAGAAATCAACTAAAGAAGGTCTTTGCAACGATGCTTCTTAAGACGCACCGTAGGAAATTTAAATTAGTAGTTCGTTTTTTTTAATTCGGCGAAGCGCGCGCAAGCGTTGACACGACGCACACGCGCGCAAGGTTGCTATAATTCGTCGGATCGGTGCGCGACATCGCGTAGCTGCAGTAGGCGAGCGAGAACGTGTCTCGGACGCTGAATTCAGGCCCAATTTAAAACATGATTCAGCAACTTTTGATCTGAAATCGAGATCCTAGAATGCTGTTTTTCTTGGAATAAGCAGCTGAAGCTGAGCTGAAACTTCATCAGGTTAGTCGTTCAGTACGCTTCTTTAGATTTTGAGCACTTTTGTTGCTTCAAACGAACAAAATGCACAAATTACAAACGATGGACTATACCTTTAATTCCTTGCTGATTTCTATTTTCGCGGCTACATACGTCGAGCAAAATCATTCCTTCACGTGTAGTCCATGATTTTGTGTGTCTACTGCATTGATATATAATTATAGTAATGTGGTTTTTTTTTGTGTGGCATTATGACCGTCAGAGTAGCAGGAAACGTGCATTATTTTTCGTTGTCTGGAAATAGGCCGCACTGTGTATACAATAGAAGAAAGATTAGTTATAAATGGATGGAGTAATAATTAGGTAAATTGTTGATTTCAGTCCTCTCTCCTCTTGGGTTAAGTCTTTTTCCTTTTTGAAATCTTATGTAACATTTTGCGTATTCATGTTAATTTGCTTTCTTCCGGCGGAAAATACTTGTAGAGTAGAAAACAAAAACTACCGTCATTATCCTTTATTTTGGCTTTGCACTGCTAAAAAGTCAAAGTGCTTGAATTTTCAATTTTTTTTCTATAGCTGAATTGCAAGTTGTCACTTTATTTAAGCCATATGGGCTGAAATGGGCTGAAATGGGCTGTAAACCAAGCCGCTGCCGCTGTCTCAACGAAGCTTGCAGGCATCCCCTTTCTGGCACATCTCACACAGGTCGCTCAGGTGGGGCCTCTCCGGGTTGTTGTGACGTTTGCCATCATCATCATCGTCATCATCCCCATCGTCATCGTCATCCCCGTCACTGTCATCCCCATCGTCATCGTCATCATCCTCATCCCCATCATCATCATCATCATCATCATCATCATCATCATCATCATCATCATCGCCATCATTAAGGTAGCAAAGACAGCCGTCGTTGGACCCACATCTCGGGCATCTCAGCGGCTCCACCTTGTACGGTTTGATGTAATCCCTGGGACAACCTGCATTCTTGCACTGCTGGCCAGACGAAGGCTGGAAAATAAAACAGATCAAATCATATAATTATGTATAGAAAGAAGTTTACTGACTATAAACTGCCACAGACAGACGTAGTTCTAAACCTTTTCTCAACGCTTTTTTTAATCAGGAAAACATCAGTTCGTGTTCTTGTTTTCTTTTTTCGAATTAGTGGGGGAGGGGGTGTTTCATCCGATAACTATCGTGTCCAATTTCACCCAGATTTCCAAAAAATGGTGATCATTTTTACAACCACTTAATGTTTGGGCCAAAACATTATTACAACAGCATGCAGATAGTGGCATTCATAGAAAACGTGGAAAACGTTTGAACAAGATTTTCTCGGCCTTAAATTTGCCTACCTTATCCGTGGCCCTGTCGCACCAGGCGTGTGCACTCTCCCACCGCCGATTGCATGTTGGACATTTGAAGAAGCCGTATCGTCGCCGAACTGACATCCTGGATTTCAGTCTTAACGTCCTGCAGATTAAAAAAGGAAAAATTAAAGGAACACTCCCCTGATGTTTTTTCCCCTGATATAAAGGTCGTCAGAAAGTTACGCAGGATCAAGGATCCTAATTGTCTATTTATTCAACGGATATTTTGCTTAGATGAAGGAATACATACCTTTGAATGTATATTGTATCCCTTTGGTTTTCTAATTAATTAAAAGGTGCTTTACGTCCTGAAATCCCCGAAAAGTTCACGTCTTGGATTTTTTACTTATTCTATTTCAAACATCTGGTTGAAAGAAAACCAACCTAATGTCTTACCGTTCCTGAGAAAAGAAGAAAAAAAACCGGTTGTTTACATCGGACACGACGGAGTACGAATACGTTTTTCCTGCCGTTTTGAGTGTATGATTACACGCTGTGTGTGTGTCTATTATAACATACGTATACAGCACCATGCTCTGCCCGACTTTTGGGGGTCGCAAAAAGTGGACCCTGAACTTCGATCTCGCATGCATAATACAGGAATAACACAAACATGCCTGGTTTTTAAAGTATAGTTGTGTGGATGTTTATATCCTACATATAAATGTTCTTTCCGATTAGCATCATTTCGTTCAAAGCGCGTTTTGTAGCAATTGGATTGTTCCAGGGGGCTCTAGTCCCCCCCCCCCCCAAAAAAAAACCCAATCCCATCAAAAAAAATTGCACTAGCAAAATGTAAGAATGCGACGTAAATCCAAATAGTCGTGAGAATGGTACACTTTTCGTTAATATAGTGTACCTGATTGTAGGATTTTATCAGCGCTCCCCATTGAAACTATGGCACGAGCCCCTTCCTAGATCCTCCAACCCCTCTCCCCCAACCTATTGATTTTCGGAGGCCTAAGTGTCCAGAGAAAATAACCGGTCTACATTTCAGCACGCCTCCCTGAAAAAAATGTCTGGATCCACCCTGCTAGGCCCCCCCCCCCAAAAAAAAATATTTGCTCTAAAACCGCGCCTGGATAGCTGGAGCACCAATAAATATGGGCGTCGCGAGGGGGGGGGCAAGGGGGGGCACTTGCCCCCCCCCCCCCCCGGAAAAGCAAAAAAAAAAAAAAGAAGAAGAAGAAAAAAGAGAAAAAAGAAAAGAAAAAGAGGCGCGAAGACAAAGTGGTGTAAATTTAATAAGTTGGGCGGGGGGCAAAATGTCCCTTCCCCCTCTAAAACTGATAAATCGAGAATATGTTGAGAAATGCAAGCATTTTTGGCCAACAATTTTTTTGGCCCCTCTAGAAAAAATCCTGGCGACGCCCAAGCCAAAAAACACCTACTTACCTCCAGCAATTAATCCAAAGATACGAACCTCGTAGAAATCTTCGATCAAGCTCACAATCCCTGCTCGCCTGCTCCTCAACATCGACAAGGTCATACGGTCAGCGAGCGTTTTCATCTGCAGCCCCGACCCTCTGGAACAAACTACCCAATCACATCAAGGATGCTCCAACCCTGGACACTTTCAAAGCTAATCTTAAAACCCATCTGTCCACTGCAAGTTATATATAATGTTTGTGTTTTCTTAATAGTTCAGCGCATTATGGGACCCCGTGTAAAATGCGCTTTATAAGAACGGTTTATTATTTTTATTATTATTGCCACCAACATGTACCTCGTCAAAAAAGCCTCTGTACTTATCACGTCACACTTTGTTTACATGTGCACTTTCCTAGACAGCCAGTGGGGGCCCACGGTCAACTGAGCTCCATAGGAAAGCACACACGTAAACAAAGTGTGACGTCATCAAAACAGAGGCTTATTCTATGGACTATCAATGGACTTAATGAAAGTTATATGAAAGCGTATTAAGTGATTATTGTTAAGCCTCGACTCGCCAAATTCTAGGTATTACAGTTTTACCTTTTTAGTAGAAATCGCAGTCTTTTCAACAGCAAGTTCAGAATGATGGCGTCCGTTTAGATAGTAAACAAACTAACAACTACAAATGTCAGTGATAAAAACAAAGCACAACTGACGCACACGTATTATTATTCAGCGATGTGCAAAGACTGCGATTGCGTGCTTGGGGAAGTCCCGCGTAGACAAAATTATAGCAATGAATCATGCAGTTGTTTTAAGAGGAAATGACAATATGCATATGTATAACACATGCATTTGTTAAACATGGGAAATCTTTGCTTAGCGTAAACGGGTTACCAGCCAAAATGTCGTGCATTGGTCATAACTGGGTACGAGCAGATGTATACGCTTGGTCGAACTATATTTTCTGCTCAGCGAGTCCATTAAAATTAGGCTGTAAAGGTGAAGTTTAACAATTTGTTGACTGCTGTGGCGAGGAACATAAAAAGGGGCGGATCCAAAGTGGGGTGGGGTGGCTACATATTGATGGTAAAATCCTTTTGCCTCGGGCCTTTGATCTTTTTATGCGTTGCTGGAAGCAGACCATGCAGGAGCGCACCAGGCGTGCCGAGGTGCAGCGCATGGCACATCTCACTGACAAAAGACAGCGCAGGAAGGAAACAGCAGCCGCTACCCCATACCCATCCATCTACACGGGGTCCATCCTATGTTCCCCAGTCCCCATGTTTCCCAGTCCTTATAGGGTTAGGGTAAGGATTATGGGGTTAGGGTAAGGGACCTGGGAACACAGGACTGGGGAACACACCTGTGAAGTTTGCAGCAGGATTGCCACTCCAGGATAGGGCTGTTCAGCCACAGTAGACGCTGCATGGTCAAGCACTTTGGATTAATCAGCTTACGGCGTACACCATTGTCTCTCGAGACAGAAAGAGGCCGACGACGACGATACGCCAAATCAACCACCCCCTCTTGAAAATGTTTTCGCTTTAACACTCCAGCCAAACCCCTTTAAAAAATCCTGGATCCGCCAGTTTACCGAATACGGTCATGCGTCATGAGCTATAATACCGGAGTCTCATAGCGCATCTACCAACACTTAGGTACTCAATGCGCTGAAAATCATGTTCATGTTCATGAGACCCATTATGTAGACCCTTATGTAGAAATATGGACCCATTGTGTAGCACCATACAAGGTGCTGCGGCGCATATTGCAGCCACCGACAGACACGCCGGGGCAAACCCCTGCTCTATGCATTACACCACACACGCTTTACGTCCCAACTGAAGGACGAAGTAAAGTGCCTTTGTAAAGTGCCTTGCTCAAGAGCACAAGCACCATGTTCCCACTGTCAGGATTCAAACCCATGTACCGTGGCATACGAGTCGAACACCGTTACCATTTATAGACCACAGCACCCCAGCTATAAGTGTCATTGATCATAGTGTACAAGATATCACTAGTCAACATTGTTTTATTATATCGTGCTATAAGTTAAAGAGATAAAAGAAATTGTGACTGACGCGGCAAGAAAGCAACTACCGCGGTGTAACCTTTGATATATGCGACCAAAATCTTTTTATTCACGATTTATTCACAATCAGCATAATTTCTAGTATTTTCTACTGAAATTACAAATAATGCAGCACATATTTTGCTACTCAAAAGAAACAACTATAACATGTTGCATAATTATACGATGAATACCAATCGTATAAGGTTAGAGTTCAACTTGACAATATCGTTGTAATTTGCATTGAAGCAGAAATTTTAACAATATCTTTCAAACTTTATATATTCTTCTTATCCTGTACGGTTGGACTACTATCCTGTACTACTATACCAGATTAAATTCAGTTAAATGAAACTACGCAATATATTGATACATCTGCATATAGTTTTTGGTTTCATATTTTGTTTTTTCGCAGCAGCCACGGTATTTCTATAGCTCCAATGCACACAAATATATACACACACAATTATCAATTGTCTAAAATGCTAAATTCTACTCGTAAAACAACTACTTTATTTGTATAAAAAGAATTGCATTCAAAAATGAAATAGGATAAGGCCAAAAAAAAGTCTCCGGTTTATGGTATGGAGCTTGCCCAAATACATGTAGTGGTGCGGCGACGCGGCTTTTGCTTTTTTTTACCTGATTTTTTTGTTTCAAATGTCGGCTGATGACTGCAAATGGTGCCCTACTAAACTTAGTGCAAATATATGGGAGTCCAGAGAGGCCACATAAAGCTTATTCTCGACCATAACCCAATCTAAAAACACGTTAAAATTATGCAACAGCAGGATTCCTGTCAAACCAGTGAGTTTGGCGGTTTTGAGACATCATCTTTCATTGAAAAAAAAAACTTTTTCATTTTGCCGACGCGCATGGCTACGGCGACGCGCGCGCATACCAAAAACCGTAGACTTTTTTTTTGGCCTAACAAAAATGCAGGCTGTTATTAAAATTTCAGTGTAAAACTCTGTATTATAATATTAATGATTCGGATGGTACATGCAAAATGTGAACATCCGTGCGGGAAAGCATGATTTGATGACGCATCCACTCTATGATTGCATGCACTGGGAATTTCCGGTATTGTGAAATGCTATAGTTAGTCACATCCAATCGTAATCGTATCGTGTCTGTTTCTCTTTCTGTTATTTTGTTGTTGTGGATGAGTGTTAAGCGCTTTGTTCTTTGTAAAGCGCTATATAAATACTTTTGTATTATTATTATTAATTTTTTTATTTAACATCCCATTATATTCCCCCACTTCTGGTACCATAAGACAAAGGTCCTACTTGAAACTCATCTGAAGTAGAATAAAAACAAATTGAAGTGGTTTCGGGGCAAACATGCCATTAATTAATAATTTTTCGGTGAATGCTATAAGTAGGCCTATGTACATCCTTGGCACATGCAGATGAGTTTTGGTATTTGTACATTAAGTTATTTCTTTTTTCCCTATCTTAATTGCGTAAATAAAATAACAGAGTGGGCAGTTGCAACTGTAGACGGTGCCCCCCCCAAAAAAAAAAATATACGGGGACAGGTAACTAGCTCCCATTTGGATCACATCTGCGCGCGCAGCACGATTGTTCAGTTTTTTTAATCACTTTGTGCATGGACCATACTTGAACACATTATAAAACAAAACTCGCTCTTCTCTTACCACAAAAAGTACCCAAAATCGCCAGTGTCTCCATAAAAAAAACAAATTTCAAGTATTCCAACTGCATAGGTTTTAAGTAATACCCTCTCCTTATTAATAGTTACGAGAGACACTTTCGAATTTAGCAAACTTGAAGCTCATTAGGCCTACCTCCGAAATTGTAAATTCGTGGCCTGATTTTGCAATAGGCTGGTTGTGCACAAACATTACCGTTGTGATTTTGAATGCATATCAGGAGGCGGAATTCAGACTTAAGACGTCATGAATACATTGGCATTATTCCGTGTAATGGTGCATTTAGTTACCGAACCCTATTTTTGAAGTCCGAAGGACAATGGGGTGAGGAAACCAGACTATTGCTACTGGTAACTACATCCACGGACTCCGGTACGGTATGCATAATCTGACATTATACCCGGGCTGCCTAATATCGACGATATTTGCAGGGCTGTCCTTTGATGCATCGCTCGCACAGCTCACTCCTGTGGGGCTTAGCCGGGTCCACATTGCGCCCGTCACGACTGCAACTGCACCCCTGGTTCGACCCGCAAACCGAGCACTTCAGACGCTCTACTCTGTACGGTTTGACGTAGTCATCCGAGCAGCCAGAATTCTGGCACTGCTGGCCAGATGATGGCTACAGAGCAAAAGAAATGATTAAAGAAAGACAGTTTACCAAACTGGGACTTGATGAACTTCGATTTTGTCGACAGGCTTTAAAAAGAAAATGCATTCCCGGGCTATTTTCGAGTTTCACCTCGAAAATTGATTTTTGTTTCAATTGCTAGCAGTATTGTTCAAGTTTTAATGAGATAATTCATGATCAGACGGAATGACAAACAAACCAGGCAATTTGTGCACAAACCTATATTTAATTGCATTCCACTGGATCATTTCAAGATCATTTATTCACGCATTGTTGCATTTGTTATTAGAAATATTATAAGGTTGATTTGAAAATTTATGCTTTATTTAAAGTTTATCAGAATATTTTGAAGTTTTGGGGAATCAGTTTTTAGACACCAGTTTCGTTACTCGTGAATATGCATGTAATGACCCTGCCAATATTGGCCGATCAGAATCAAGAGTCCCCTGGGCCTGCATGGTGACTGGTACCTTGAAAAAAAAACTCAAGAATATTCCTTCTTTCACGTCTAAAGTGTAAAATCGGTATTTTATTTCCAAAATGTTTTTCTTATATTCTATGTATTAATAGGTGAAGTGAAGGTCAGTTAATTTTGGACAAAATACTAAAGAAAAAAAATCATTTAAGGACTGGTTCACTGCTCCTATAGGTTTGTCCATCAACTACATTGCTTGTTGTCATCCATCTAAATGAAATGTGGACATCGAAATTGTTTGTGTTCACCTTGAATGTGCCTCTGTAACACCATGCCCAGGAGCTCTCCCAACCTCGATTGCATTCCGGACATTTAAAGTAGCCGTATCTGCGCTGTGGATTCGACATGACCTAAGATCAAGCAGTTGAGTCCGATACCTGCATAAAACATTGCAGAGGGATTTCTTTTCTTATATGCTTTTTAATCCAAAGATTAGTATATATTAAATACCGTTCAATAGAATTGACGCATCGTTCTTTAAACGTTTACACTTTCTTTGTACTTATACGAGTTAGAATTATGACAACCCAATGATCTACAGGGCTGAGGTAACTCCACTGCTAGTAAACTAGCTTGCCTTGACTAACCCCAGGCCCAGCTCCTTAGCTTAGGCCTAAGCCTACATCGCATTCGCTCTTTTCACACTTCCGCCATGGGCATGCAGAGCCTCGATCTGGCAACTTTACAAAATGAATAATCGTCTTGCTAACTGATTAAGCAGTCGTGCTGAAAACATGTATTAGTCGAGCATAAACGGAGCATTCCTTATGTGTACACGCGAAATAATAGACACAAGATATTAATATCAAACACAAGGGTGGATCTACCGTACTGCTTAAACGACAGTTGTTGCTTTAATGCATGTATGATTCATAATCCAATATTTCGCGTCGCTAACGCGAATGCTTATGCAAAAAGAAGCAGTACGGAGTAATATAGAATTTAGAATATTTTGCACGTAGATCTACATAATGTGATACTAGTACATATATATCAGCCTATATCCCATTGGAATTTACCTGTAATTAGTGGGCAAATCCTCGTTACGAGCAGCTTTCTTCCGTGTTCTTCTTCGTCTGTGTAGTCGCCAAGTGTCAACAACTAGCTGCAATGTTAGCTGCTATATACACGTAGTTATAGAGATTGCGTGCTAGGGAAACCCCCAGAAATAGAATGACATCAGTTGGTTGAAGTTGTGCAATTCGAGTCGGGTACTTTTATCAGTACTACGCCTTTCAGTCGGCGTTTTTGTCATGGTAAATTAATCCATATAATAATAACGGCCCTACTTACCAAACATAGATGAACCTGCACACATGCGTAAATGTTTTCATAGGAACGTATGCCAGGAATAACGACTAACACCCAACTAGATGGACTTCAAAATGTCGACCTCCGAAATTAGTTCTCGCAATATATTTTCCTGGCCAATTGACAATCTGTTCTGATGAATTCCAGTTGGATGTCTTCCGCATACTCGATCTTAATGCAAGAGCAGAATATCACTATGGCAGAGTTCACACCACAGTTTGCTGGACAGCTTGTGGAGAATACTGAGCCTGATAAGCAGGAATCTGACAACTCTTTATCATTTCCTCTGATGTACTCCAAGAACACATCTACAGCAGAATCAGGGATCTCTTGAAGACAGCTGATCAGGGATCTCTTGAAGCCAACCCAAGGAATGGTGCTGAAACAGCTGTAACATTGAGGTTTCTGCCCGGAATGACATCCCACTTTTGTTCATGGATATGACAATTCCCATATCGTACATATTCAAAAAGCCCCCAAAATACCCTTGGAAATGGCAAAACGAAAATTGAAAGTAAGGTTAAATGGGACACAAAGGTGCGTTTTCAAGGATTGCATTAAAAAACAAGTATTTGTTGAGGCCCTGATGCACGACATGTGACAGCCATTTATGTATTGATATCGCGGGGTGGGGTGGGGGTGGGGGGGGGGGGAGTCCCACGGGCGGGGTGGGGCGGGGTAGTCGAAGTACATGTCATCGGCCGTTCCACCGAGCTAGACCGCGAGCTCTACGAGTAACTACATGAATCTGCGCACCTTTTTGTTTTATAATCAGCACGCTTTACGCGACCATGCGCGACGTAACCTGCGCTAAGTTGAATTTCGGACACAGTGCAAGACATAAAGTGTCGACGGCTGTAGATTGGTCGATTGCTGTCAGCTCCAGGGAAATCCCCCCTTAAAAAAATATCGTTGCCCCCCCCCCCTTGAAATTTGGCAACCGCAGAAAGTACAGTCCAATAAGTTAACCTGATTATTAGCGCAATCAACATAAAGTGCCTTTGCACGTGTTCTCTTTTTTTTTTCTCGAAACATGTTTTTCGCGAGTGGCTTTTTTATTGTTACGTCCCGTGGAAATTGAATAGCGCCACCTATGGTCAGAAATGTTTACACGATGTCGGTTTTGGACAGCGCCCCCATGGAAATATCGTGTCCAGCATGCCTACTGTAACATCCAGCCCCCCCCCCCCCCCCCCCCCCCCCCCCCCATGACAACCCTGGCTACACCGCTGGTTCTGTAGCGAATTTCTAAAATTTCAACTGATTATGCTCAAACGTTCAAGAGATTTTATGTTCAACAGATATTACAAACTTTCCTCGTATTCATATTTCTGTCCAGTTTCTGACCCATATATCACCAAAAAGGCAAACATTCGAGACTCACTTTTTGCCATCCAGGGGACGCCCTACTATGTTTGGTACCTAGTTACAACACTGTGAGTTTCGTTAATTACTCGCAGTTCAAGTTCCTGACTATGCTTTGGGTGCCAGCCTATTTCGGTTGACTCAGTGTGATCTGTATTGACATTGACTGAATTTGAATTGTATTTTAGGGCAAGAGAGTAAATCGTTGAGTGTTTTCGAAAAAACACCGCGTTCACCGCCAACCAGCCATGTTTTGGGGTCACCATTTACAAGGTGGCCCGTTTCATAATTGGATTGACTCTCTTGCAGCCGACAAAAACCCAAAACATTTCCAGGTACTTATTTGTAGAAATGTTTTATAAAAGTAGGATGTACAATTGTGTTCTGTGACGTGTGTGTTGAACGTACGTAAAATGTGTCGTTACGAAATGCACGTGACCCATTGTCGAGGCAGCTCAGTGAGCCTGACCCGGGGAGGTGACGTCACACTATCTCAGTGTATACACGTTGGTAAGAAATGAAACGGAGGGACCGAGGCGAGCACTATACTTGTACGCAGTCGGCAGGTGATGATACTTCAATCTTCCTTTCGAAGACATGCTTTTCCTGTGTCCGGCATCTCGCCAGGTTTTGGGTGATATTTGCACCCCTCCCCTTGCTTTCATATTAAATTTGGGGCGGAAAATGTTTGGACCCACTTTTTAGGAAGCAAAAATGTTTTTGCAACCCCCCTCCCCCCACGTAAAAAAAAGAACTCTGTTCTGAATCCGGCCTTGCATAATAATGACATCGTGCCTTTGATGATACAAACATGGCATTTGGCAAACAGTCAGAGTATGTCATGCAAAAAACATTTTGAAAGTTTTGAAAATTGCTTGTAGCTATGTTTTGTTTCAAAATTTAATGACAATTCTTTTATGGCCTTATAGCCAAATACCTTTCTCATTATACATACTCTAATTGTGTGCCAAATGACATGCGTGTATCATCAAAGGCACAATTCCCCCAAATAATTCCCCTATCTGCCCCACAAACGTGTTGCTGTGGCTACTACATGTATAGTGGCTATGTGTTTGTTTACCTAACATGTCTTTCTATTAAGAATAAATTGTAAAGTTAGCTGAATGCTGCACTCCAAACAACACAATGTTTCATGCGACATTTTTAATATGCGATAATTAAGGAGTAAAGAAAAGATCTATCAAGCAAGATTAAAACGAAAAATAAATAAAACAAAAATATATAAATTAACAAGACATTACAATAAAGTAACAGCAATACAAATAAATGTATTAAAAAATGTAAACTGTTTTGAGAGACTGCAGTTGAGCATAACGATAAAAGAAAAATGTAACATTTTCAATTTCAAGAAAACAATTTGACATTTTCTGTCATCATGTGATAATTTGTCGGTGGGAACGTTAGGCCCCGTAAAATAACTTCAATTGTTTTGAATCTCGTTTCAAAAGATTAACCTTAGTTTATTCTATGTCACGTAAAATTAACCGCATTTGTTGTATTCTAGTATTAAGCAATTAGCTTTTCATTAGTCCATCAACATCTCAGCTTGTGATTTCTTTTACTCATCAACCTTAACAAGAAATGTAATAGAAACGGACAAAAAATATTCTGGAGATAATTTCCACAAGAAATTAAGAAGAAATGGAACATTCAACAGCAAATCTATAATTCGAAAGTAAATAAATTAAAAATTAAAATAAGGTGTCCAGTAAAGTCAAGCTTGCTATTTCGGTTTGAGTCTGTAACGTGAAAATTCGTATTTTGAATTGAACGATTCTTTGTGCGTTGTAGTTCAAAGACACATCACAGTTCGTTGGTTCCTTGCTTTATGGAGATAATGTATTGGTTTAAAGGTAGAGTAGATCATTTGCGGTTATATAACTGACATACAGATCCTAGTCATTTGATTGGTGGAACTCACATCACGTGGCATTCGTTATTGCTCCCATTCATGCCACGGCTCAAAAAGTACTATCCGCCCATGGGGAATGGGAAATACTATTCAACAGTTAGGATCATGACGCGGTATTTGTGTGCAAATGCATGCTGGTGTGCGCGTTCAGCGTTGCGCGTAGCGTGTATTGTTCCAAACAGCCAGAGCTACAGCGTTGGGTTCAAACATTTTCGTGAAGGGGTGGTTTGGAAGAGACAAACACATTTTCCTCCAGGTTTGTTTTGAAATAAAAGTTCAAATATATCAAATGACAAGGATCTATATGTCAGTTATATAAAACAAATATTGAGTGGCTTTAAATTGTGAAATGGGTGGAATATTATCGCTCGGTAAAATCTGGACTTTTCCAGTTCACTCGGCTTCGCCTCGTGAAATGGAAAAGTCCAGATTTTACCTCGCGATAATATTCCTCCCATTCCACGCTGAGCCACTCAATATTTGTATACTATCCAAAAGGTAACTGACGCGTATGACGAAATTAATGTTGAAAAGCCTACTTGGTTTTAAGATAGTAATGGCATTTCTGGCATGCTATCATTTAAAGAAAACAATAAAAGAAGCTAATGTCTAAAGACGCATTTCTGTAAAAATTTGGCGAATCCGTGAAAGGGTGTGCGCAAACGTTGACACGACGCACACGCGCGCGCTGTTGCAATTATTCGTCAGCTTAGCGTGCAGAGTTGAATGAGAACGTATTCTAGATGCTAATTCCAGGCCAATTCAAAACATAACGCTCCGACATTTGAATGAACCCAGATCATATTGCTATCTCTACATACATCATTCACAAAGCTAAAACTTCATTAGGTTAGTTGAAAAAGGTGAGCACATTTATTGTTTCAAACGAAAAAAGGTGCTGCACAGTTGACTTAAATTGATTTACCCTACCTTTAAGTACAACAGCTGATTAGTTCACCGATGTGTATGGTCTTCGTCCATACTTCTTAATATTAATCTGGACACCTAAAATGAGCAAAGGCTAAATACTAATATTTAAACTTGAAAGCATGCAGGTTCGTAAACGTTGAAGGCAAAGATGGTGAGACGTGGGTTACGTAAACAGTTTTTTTTTACAGTGTAGCCGGACAGCAGTCCGTACACCGAAATTAAACCGTTCAGTTTTGTAGTGATGCCGTTGTGAGTGTCCGTTTGGTGAGACTGTTTAGTGATCATCGCCAAGGCAATCGACTTGGTATACCGATTGTGAGGGCTTCAGGTTTGATGTGGCAAATATGTGGGGTCGATTTACTTTGAAGTGCGGGACATCTTGCACATGTATGAGTACTTGAAACCGCATTCATTGTCATTCCATTGGCCATGTCTATCGTGCCACATGTGAGTACAGTCCTCAAGTCTACGCCAATCGTCGGGTTGCCCACTGGACCATCTGGTGTAGCTGACCTGGGATCCATCTGTCCAGATGAACTTCCCCTCCACTGCCTGGTCAGTGAAGCCTATCCACAGGCCGCCCGTTGTTGTTGTTCGGGCCGACTTCCACATGGCGAAGAGAAAAGTATTCTCCTTAGCGCTGGCTACGGACGCCAGGTGACCATGGCCGACCTGAGTGAACTGCTGGCAGTGGCTCTCAGCTGCATTGAAGGTCTTGGCGGTGCCGAAATAACGGTAGCAGTTGCCGTTGTAGAAGGTCCACATCGGTGGACACTTCGGTGGGCACTTCGACGAGCAGTATGGTTGCCATGCCGCAGCAAAACTCACCAACAGGACGAAGCACAAGGCCCGAACGAATGCCATGCTGTTTACAAGGTGTCTTCCTATACCGCTGAGTGTCACAAGCCAAAATGCAGTTGCAGAGTGAGGCTAAAAGATGAGATGGCACCCTTTATAAACCCTCGATTGTTCTCATAATGAACAGCCGACACAAAGGCTTCAGTGGCGTCGAGCCTCACGTGGAGTGTTTGAATTGGCCAATGAAGGTTGGGGGTGTGGTCAGTGTCACATTTTTCCTTAAAAAAAGAGTTTCACATATATCACTTTAAATTACGCCTTACGTCATCTTCTTTTAGTGCCATGATTGGACAATATTTTTTTCACGATTAGTGAGCTTTTGCACGAGACTGTAACTGATTGTCATATGCATTTAAAGTGACAAAACGAAGAGGACTATTTTGAAATAGAATGGTTATTCATTTAACAATTCGGATAACACTCGCCGCGCTTAGTCAACTCATTGAACATTCATTCAAAACCTCCAAAAGTCTTGCAAGACAACGCTTAAAAAGTGCTCACTGAAAGAACCATATAAAATACATTGATTATTTTTTATTTGTCTTCGATTCCACTGTGCGAACTGATTATTTCCTTCAACATAACATGGCTACTATTCACTTTAGCCCCCAAAACGAATTTCATTTTTTTAATTTCCGGGTTTTTTTTTACCCTAGCAATATAAAATATGGTATTCACGGCAAATCTGAATATTAAAATTCAAGAAAATTCCAGGCGACTTCTTGTTGTTAAGAAATAGGTTCTCCCAAATCAATCTAAAATTGTTTTAAACAACCACTCCAAAGAAAAGGGGGTTCATTAAAGCTAAAAAATATATATATACTAACGTGAGATTAGATCGGCGATTCTCGTCGAGTAGGCCTACTGGCATGCTAATGATCACCGAATGCTCCCGCGCCTCATTTTAGTTCATGACGTCTGGCATTATTTTCCCATCTCCTTTCGACCAAGAAATAAATCCATTTTTGCAATTGAATAAGCTCAGCCAGTCAGCTAGTCAGTCAGCTAGTCATGCAGTGGGGGAGCCAGTCAGCTATAGTCAGTCAACTAGTCTGTCGTTCGGGGAGTCGGGGAGTCAGTCAGCCAGTCAGCTAGTCAGCTGGAAAACCAGAAACATCTGAAAAACTCTCAAGTGTAATACACACTGGCATTTTTGCATCTTATGGAGTCATCATTAATTAAGCTGCAGTTGCAATTTCTTCTACAAGGAGGTTTGTACAAACATCTGAACACCAAGTTCTATGAGTTTTCGACGATTTTCCAGGACTAAAATATGGCAATGACATTTAAAAATTTTTTGTGGGAAACAGTTGTTTGGTATATTGATATTGTTGGACTAATTATTTGTTAATTTTTCAAAAGAAACTGTAATTAATTATCGTTATTCCGTCGTTTCACCCAAAGCAGCCTATTCAAAACAACCTTTACATGATGTGGATTTCCTTGCCTTTTCCATAACTGTTAATGTTTTCCAATTTTCACGACTAAATAGCGAGCACCTTAGACCCAACCAAACGCGAATATTTCATTACCTACGAGATTTTTTTGACATGTGAGATCAGTAGCTCTTTGATTATGTAGCGGAAATGAACGAATATCCAAACTTTGGTGTGGGACCACCCTGGCATTACGAAACGATTTTTTTTTATTTGAATGCTTTCTTTTATATCCTTATCCCATTAATTTTTTTAGAATGACAGCATGCAAAATGTAATAACTTCACATACTTTTTTTGGTCACATTATAATTGTTTAAATGTGCAGGTATTTGGAAACTAATTGTGTCGGTTAATAAGTTTTCGGATTATGACTAAAATAGTATCGCTTCAACTGCGTACATTCGAGAAGCGAATGCAAAACTGATAATATTTTGACATCATGGGCACACGAACCATTATCATGATCGACTACCAGCAGATTCTAACGGAAATCGTTTTCGCCAGTTTACTTTTCAGTAATTGTTAAATTTAACGCCCAGGAATTAATTTCGTATATCAACTTGGGTCTACGGTGCTCGCTATTTGAAGCACAAGCATGTGACGTGATATAGTGCTCTGTTGCTTCCATCATGTGTTTATAGCTCCATGCTTCCACCAAGGCTGAGCGTTGTGAGTTCGCTGCCCGCCACCTATGATTCAGTGTCGCGTTGATAATTTCGGGGGCCTGTTTGGGATCAACGAAGGATCGATGCATTGCTTCAAATATAGCGATCTTAAACGCAGTCAAAAAAAAAATCGACGAAAAAGTGTCATCCGACCCGACGGAAGACACCCTCCACATTTTCCACGGACGTGGAGCCATTTTGGCGTCGCGGGAGACCGCGGTCTCAGATCCTTTCAGGAGAAAACATTTCTCGGAGGCCGAGTAAAACTTGCTCTTATATAGGTGGTTGAACCAACTTGAATAAAAGGTGAATCGACTTTTTCCTCGTAGACGGTCTCGCAAATTGTAAGAAGTTCAAGTTTACGTTTGTTGAAGAGTCCAATACTGAAACTTAATTATGACCTTCCTCCATGATTCAGACCGTTTGTAATTTTATGGTAACACTCATCATTTTCATTTCAAAACCAAAACATTTCCAGGTACTTATTTGTAGAAATCTATATATATAAGAGAGAGTTTAACTCGGCCTCTGAGACGATGTTTGCTCATGAAAGGATCCGAGACCGCGGGTTCCCGCGGCGCCAAAATCGCTCCACGTCCGTGGAAAAATGCGGAGGGTGTCTTCCGCCGGTTCGGACACTTCGGGTCGTCCTGATTTTCCCGTACGGACCGGCGATCCGTTTCGTCGATTTTTCGTGACTGCGTTTTGCGCAGGAATTTGCCGTCGTGTGCGCTTTCACGTTGACTGCCTAGTCGCCCCCTGTGCTGGCTTTTCTGCGTGTCTAGACTGTGCGAGGTCAGCGGCTTCGACGTAGGGGTTCCGTTTACGTGTTCTACTTGGCCGTTCTGCAAAAGTGTTCACCAAACGGTTGTTAAAATATTTTTTCCCATGGGGCGTGGCCACCAAGTGTCCCTATTCTTTCATATGCTTTGCTTGCCGCCCCTGCGCTGAGTGCAACGAATACTCAGATTGACTACACATTAGTATGCCTTGCGCGGTCTGACCAATCGAAAGTCTACACTGTGTACTTCCGGGGTCTGCGTAAAACCGTCGATGGCAACGCGTACTGCAGCCTGCTCGACACCCTGGAAACGAGGTTGGGTCTACGGTGCTCGCTATGTTAAGTACAAGCGTGTGACGTGTGATAGAGTGCTGTTGCTTCCACCATGCATGGCTGAGTGTTGTGAGTTCGCTGCCCGCCACGTATAATTCAGTGTCGCGTTATAATTTCGGGGGCATGTTTTGGGATCAACAAAGGATCGATGTCGCATTGCTTCAAATATCGCAATCTTTGAACTACGTTGGGTTGGAATAACGAAGGGTGCATAAATAATAATATCCATTGGCGGTTGTTGGCTGTTTGGCCTTGCTTTATTAATTAGGGTTGAACCAACTTGAATACAAGTTTAATCGACTTTTTCCTCGCAGGTCTTGCAAATTGTAAGAAGATCAAGTTTACGTCCAATAGTGACCTTCCTCCATGATTCAGACTTTGTAATTGTATGGAAAACACTCAACATTTTCATTGCAAATGACACCTTCACGTTCTCATTGTTATGATTTAACGTCAAAACTGTATAATCAGCCTTCGCCTGTGTACTACGGTAAGCCTTTCAAGTATGTTTTCTCACAAGTGCCAATTTAACAGACCAACGGGAACATTTACAGACTGTTGCAATGGTACATAATTATCATGGGCGTCAATCGGTGGGGGACGGGGACCCCCCCCCCCCCATTTTAAAGCGGTGGACACTGTTTTGGTCCCCCCCCCCCACTTTTCTACCCCAAATAAAAATTGTAGCTACTACATGTATAATGATTCTGTTACTCAGAATAGCTGATTCAATGACACCAAACTCAAAAATGATGCTTAAAAGATGATCCTTTGCTTAAAAAAAAAAAATGTTTTATTGGTCAGAAATTGCCTCAGATCTCACCACAGAAATTACTTTTCTATAACTGCATGTCTTCTCAACTAAATTCCCCAATTACATTCAACTCCCCACATTTTCATCCCCAACTCTACGCCCTACCCGATCTATGATCGGGTAAATCAACGAAGGATCGATGCATTGTTTCAAATATTGTGATCTTTGAATTATGTTGGGTTGGAATAACGAAAGGTGCATGAATAACAATATCCATTGGCGGTTGTTGGCTGTTTGGCCTTGCTTATATTATGGTTGAACCAACTTGAATAAAATAGTTATATCGATTTTTCCTCGCAGGTCTCGCAAATTGTAAGAAGTTCAAGTTTACGTTTGAAATCATTGTGTGATACTGCAAAAACACTCAGGCATTATGAATCAGGAATCCTAAGGAACGGCTATCAAAAATCTGGAAACCAGAAACATCTGAAAAACTCTGAAGTGTAATACACACTGGCATTTTTGCATCTTATGGAGTCATCATTAATTAAGCTGCAGTTGCAATTTCTACTACAAGGAGGTTTGTACAAACATCTGAACACCAAGTTCTATGAGTTTTCGACGATTTTCCAGGACTAAAATATGGCAATGACATTTAAAATTTTTTTGTGGGAAACAGTTGTTTGGTATATTGATATTGTTGGACTAATTATTTGTTAATTTTTCAAAAGAAACTGTAATTAATTATCGTTATTCCGTCGTTTCATCCAAAGCAGCCTATTCAAAACAACATTTACATGATATGGATTTCCTTGCCTTTTCCATAACTGTTAATGTTTTCCAATTTTCACGACTAAATAGCGAGCACCTTAGACCCAACCAAACGCGAATATTTCATTACCTACGAGAACTTTTTGACATGTGAGATCAGTAGCTCTTAATTATGTAGCGGAAATGAACGAATATCCAAACTTTGGTGTGGGACCACCATGGCATTACAAAACGATTTTTTTTTTGAATGCTTTCTTTTATATCCCTATCCCATTAATCTTTTTAGAATGACAGCATGCAAAATGTAATAACTTCACATACTTTTTTTTGGTCACATTATAATTGTTTAAATGTGCAGGTATTTGGAAACTAATTGTGTCGGTTAATAATTTTTCGGATTATGACTAAAATATTGTCGCTTCAACTGCGTACATTCGAGAAGCGAATGCAAAACTGATAATATTTTGACATCATGGGCACACGAACCATTATCATGATCGACTACCAGCAGATTCTAACGGAAATCGTTTTCGCCAGTTTACTTTTCAGTAATTGTTAAATTTAACGCCCAGGAATTAATTTCGTATATCAACTTGGGTCTACGGTGCTCGCTATTTGAAGCACAAGCATGTGACGTGATATAGTGCTCTGTTGCTTCCATCATGTGTTTATAGCTCCATGCTTCCAGCAAGGCTGAGCGTTGTTAGTTCGCTGCCCGCCACCTATAATTCAGTGTCGCGTTGATAATTTCGGGGGCCTGTTTGGGATCAACGAAGGATCGATGCATTGCTTCAAATATAGCGATCTTAAACGCAGTCACAAAAAAATCGACGAAAAAGTGTCATCCGACCCGACGGAAGACACCCTCCACATTTTTCCACGGACGTGGAGCCATTTTGGCGTCGCGGGAGACCGCGGTCTCGGATCCTTTCAGGAGCAAACATTTCTCGGAGGCCGAGTAAAACTTGCTCTTACATAGGTGGTTGAACCAACTTGAATAAAAGGTGAATCGACTTCTTCCTCGCAGACGGTCTCGCAAATTGTAAGAAGTTCAAGTTTACGTTTGTTGAAGAGTCCAATACTGAAACTTAATTATGACCTTCCTCCATGATTCAGACCGTTGGTAATTTTATGGAAACACTCAACATTTTCATTTCAAAATGACTTTTCACAGTTTATTGCATTATGATTTATTGTCAAAACTGTACAATTAGCCTTCGCCTGTGTACTACAGTAACCGTTCACTACGTTTCCCAAATGCGACTGCCTCACAAAATGCCAATTTAACAGACCAACGGGAACATTTACGGACAGTTGCCATGTACATAATTATCATGTGCGTAAATCGACGGGGGACAGAGGGACCCCCCCCCCCCCTTACACACACACACACACACACGTACACACCTTTTAAAGCGGGGGACATTGTTTGATCCCCCACTTTTTCTTCCCCGAATAAAAAGTGTAGCCTACTATAATGATTCTATTGCTCAAAATACATATAGCTGATTCAATTACTCCACACTCAAAACTTTACAAGATGATCTTTTGCTGAAATTGGTTTTAGTGGTCAGAAATTGCCTCACATCACACCACAGAAATTGCTTTTCTATAACTGCATGTCTCCCCAACTATATCCCCCATTTACATTTAGCTCCCCACATTTTCATCCCCAACACTACGCCCTACCCGATCTATGATCGGGTAAATCAGCTTGTGTATTATAAAGTAGGATGTACAATTGTTTTCTGTGACGTGTGTGTTGAACGTACGTAAAATGTGTCGTTACGGAATGCACGTGACCCATTGTCGAGGCAGCTCAGTGAGCCTGACCCGGGGAGGTGACGTCACACTATCTCAGTGTATACACGTTGGTAAGAAATGAAACGGAGGGACCGAGGCGAGCACTATACTTGTACGCAGTCGGCAGGTGATGATACTTCAATCTTCCTTTCGAAGACATGCTTTTCCTGTGTCCGGCATCTCGCCAGGTTTTGGGTGATATTTGCACCCCTCCCCTTGCTTTCATATTAAATTTGGGGCGGAAAATGTTTGGACCCACTTTTTAGGAAGCAAAAATGTTTTTGCAACCCCCCTACCCCCACGTAAAAAAAACCTCTGTTCTGGATCCGGCCTTGCATAATTATGACATCGTGCCTTTGATGATACAAACATGGCATTTGGCAACAGTCAGAGTATGTCATGCAAAAAACATTTTTTGCAAATTTTGAAAATTAGCTATGTTTTCTTTCAAAATTTAATGACAATTCTTTTATGGCCTTATAGCCAAATACCTTTCTCATTATACATACTCTAATTGTGTGCCAAATGACATGCGTGTATCATCAAAGGCACAATTCCCCCCAAATAATTCCCCTATCTGCCCCACAAACGTGTTGCTGGGGCTACTACATGTATAGTGGCTATGTGTTTGTTTACCTAACATGTCTTTCTATTAAGAATACATTGTAAAGTTAGCTGAATGCTGCACTCCAAACAACACAATGTTTCATGCGACATTTTAAATCTGCGATAATTAAGGAGTAAACAAAAGATCTATCATGCAAGATTAAAAAGAAAAATTAAACAAAACAAAAATATATAAATTAACAAGACATTACAATAAAGTAACAGCAATACAAATAAATGAAGAAAAAAATGTAAACTGTTTTGAGAGACTGCAGTTGAGCATAACGATAAAAGCAAAATGTAACATTTTCAATTTCAAGAAAACAATTTGACACTTTCTGTCATCGTGTGATAATTTGTCGGTGGGAACGTTAGGCCCCGTAAAATAACTTCAATTGTTTTGAATCTCGTTTCAAAAGATTAACCTTAGTTTATTCTATGTCACGTAAAATTAACCGCATTTGTTATATTCTAGTATTAAGCTATTAGCTTTTCATTAGTCCATCAACATCTCAGCTTGTGATTTCTTTTACTCATCAACATTAACAAGAAATGTAATAGAAACGGACAAAAAATATTCTGGAGATAATTTCCACAAGAAATTAAGAAGAAATGGAACATTCAACAGCAAATATATAATTCGAAAGTAAATAAATTAAAAATTAAAATAAGGTGTCCAGTAAAGTCAAGCTTGCTATTTCTGTTTGAGCCTGTAATGTGAAAATTTCTGGTTTTAATTGAACGATTCTTTGTGCGTTGTAGTTCAAAGACACATCACAGTTCGTTGGTTCCTTGCTTTATGGAGATAATGTATTGGTTTAAAGGCAGAGTAGATCATTTGCAGCTATCCAAAAGGTAACTGACGCGTATGACGAAATTAATGTTGAAAAGCCTCCTACTTGGTTTTAAGATAGTAATGGCATTTCTGGCATGCTATCAATTAAAGAAAACAATAAAAGAAGCTAATGTCTAAAGACGCATTTTTGTAAAAATTTGGCGAATCCGTGAAAGGGTGTGCGCAAGCGTTGACACGACGTACACGCGCGCGCTGTTGCAATTATTCGTCAGCTAAGCATGCAGAGTTGATGAGAACGTATTCTAGATGCTAATTCCAGGCCAATTCAAAACATAACGCTCCAACATTTGAATGAACCCAGATCATATTGCTTTCTCTACATACATCATTCACAAAGCTAAAACTTCATTGGGTTAGTTGAAAAAGGTGAGCACATCATTGTTTCAAACGAAAAAAAGTGCTGCACAGTTGACTTAAATTGATTTACCCTACCTTTAAGTACAACAGCTGATTAGTTCACCGATGTGTATGGTCTTCGTCCATACTTCTCAATATTAATCTGGACACCTAAAATGAGCAAAGGCTAAATACTAATATTTTAACTCGAAAGCATGCAGGTTCGTAAATGTTGAAGGCAAAGATGGTGAGACGTGGGTTACGTAAACAATTTTTTTTTCACAGTGTAGCCGGACAGCAGTCCGTACACCGAAATTAAACCATTCAGTTTTGTAGTGATGCCGTTGTGAGTGTCCGTTTGGTGAGACTGTTTAGCGATCATCGCCAAGGCAATCGACTTGGTATATCGATTGTGAGGGCTTCAGGTTTGATGTGGCAAATATGTGGGGTCGATTTACTTTCAAGTGGACATCGTGCACATGTATGAGTACTTGATGTGGCATACATTGTCAAGCCATTCGCCATTGTGCCACATGTGAGTACAGTCCGTATGATGACCGAAATCGCCGGGTTGAAAAGGTAGCCAATCGTCGTAGGTGACCTCGGATCCATCTGTCCAGATGAACTTCCCCTCCTCTGCCTGGTCAGTGAAGCCTATCCACAGGCCGCCCGTAAATGTTTTTCGGAGCGACTTCCACATCCTGTGGATAAAAGTATTCTCCTGAAAGCTGGCTACGGACGTCAGGTGACCATAATGGCCGGCCTGAGTGAACTCCTGGCAGTGGCTCTCAGCTGCAGCGTAGGTATTGGCGGTGCCGAAATAACGGTAACAGTTGCCGTTGTAGAAGGTCCACATCGGTGGACACTTCGGTGGGCACGACGAGCAGTATGGTTGCAATGCCGCAGCAAAACCCACCAACAGGACGAAGCACAAGGCCCGAACGAATGCCATGCTGTTTACAAGGTGTCTTCCTATACCGCTGAGTGTCACAAGCCAAAATGCAGTTGCAGAGTGAGGCTAAAAGATGAGATGGCACCCTTTATAAACCCTCGATTGTTCTCAGTTAATGAACAGCCAACACAAAGGCTTCAGTGGCGTCGAGCCTCACGTGGAGTGTTTGAATTGGTCAATGAAGGTTGGGGGTGTGGTCAGTGTCACAGTTTTCCTTAAAAAAAGAGTTTCACATATTTCACTTTAAATTACGCCTTACGTCATCTTCTTTTAGTGCCATGATTAGACAATATTTTTTTCACGATTAGTGAGTTTTTGCACGAGACTGTTACTGATTGTCATATGCATTTTAAGTGACAAAACGAAGAAGACTATTTTGAAATAGAATGGTTATTCATTTAACAATTCGGATAACACTCGCCGCGCTTAGTCAACTCATAGAACATTCATTCAAAACCTCCAAAAGCCTTGCAAGACAACGCTTAAAAAGTGCTCACTGAAAGAACCATATAAAATACATTGATGATTTTTATTTGTCTTCGATTCCACTGTGCGAGCTGATATTTCCTTAAACATAACATGGCTACTATTCACTTAAACCCCCAAAACGAATTTCATTTTTTTAATTTCCTGGTTTTTTTTTTACTACCCTAGCAATATAAAATATGGTATTCACGGCAAATCTAAGTATTAAAATTCAAGAAAACTCCAGGCGACTTCTTGTTGTTAAGAAATAGGTTCTCCTAAATCAATCTAAAATTGTTTTAAACAACCACTCCAAAGAAAAGGGGGTTCATTAAAGCTAAAATATATATATATATATATATATATATATATATATATATATATATATATATATATATATATCCAATGAAATCGTCTTCTATCACAATTCACAGTGCTCGATACATCTCTGTAGAGCTATAAACATGCAATAAATTCAGAATATTCTCTTTCTGAACAGACTGTTTCGTACCATAAGGGCAGGCAGTGCGGGCAGTTGTCCCCGCAATGCCGAATGCCCGCTGAACGGGGAGTGCCTCAGCAAGAACATAGTGTACCAGGCCACCGTCACGAGCGAAGGCAGGAAGGAGGCATACGTCGGGCTGACGTCCACAACCTTCAAGGCGAGACTGGCGAACCACAAGCAGTCATTCAGATCCGAGAGCAAGAGGGCGCAAACAGAGCTAAGTAAACATATATGGGACTTAAAGGACGAAGGGAAAGACTATGAAATCAAATGGGACATAGTTCTGAAAGCACTGCCATACTCTAACGTAAAAAAGAGATGCAATTTGTGTATAGCAGAGAAGTACATAATCATATGTAGGCCAGATCTAGGTACACTGAATAAGAGAAGCGAAATCGTCTCCAAGTGCAGGCATCGAGACAGATGTGTTCTTACTTCAGTGACGTAAACGCGTACTAACTTCAATGACGTAACGCGCGTAACGCGTGCGCGCGCTTGATTCGAAATAAGGTAAGATGCTACTTGTATTCTATTTTTCGTCATTCTGCTGATGAGTGCCTTATGGTACGAAACAGTCTGTTCAGAAAGAGAATATTCTGAATTTATTGCATATATATATATATATATATATACTAACGTGAGATTAGATCGGCGATTCTCGTCGAGTAGGCCTACTGGCATGCTAATGATCACCGAATGCTCCCGCGCCTCAATTTAGTTCATGACGTTTGGAATTATTTTCCCTTCTCCTTTTGACCAAGAAATAAATCCATATTTGCAATTGAATAAGCTCAGCCAGTCAGCTAGTCAGTCAGCTAGTCAGGCAGTCGGGGAGTCAGCCGGGGAGTCAGTCAGTCAGTCAGTCGGGGAGGCAGTCAGCCAGTTAGTCCGTAATTTATGGTATTCATAGATTTTAGTTTGTTTTACATAACTTGGAAAGTGGTATTTGTCTACATGATTTTGCGATTTCTGCTGGCATGCCAATTAAATGAGAACTGCAACAATGTAGGGCTAGTCTCTACCCGGTGACAGCAGAGGGAATATTGTAATTTCAGAAGGCCTCTTTATTTATGAACATGATCAATTAAAACGGAAGCAAAACTAAAAGATAGGCGCTATAAATAATGGCAGTTGTAATTGGTACGATAATGCTGCTGCATCATTTCACTCGGTAACGACGGAAATAAACAACAGTCATTATTTATAGGTTTTTCTAACTCCAAATCGATACCTTTAAAGTGGTAATATATTGCTCAAACTTGTTGAGATAAAGAAAAATTAATATCCCAAAAAATAATTTACGATTTCGAAAACGAATGTGAGAAGGTTGTCTGCGAATCAATCAAATTAGCCGTGTGTCAATTGGGACATTAAATAATCTTCAAAGTAAACGTCAGAGTTTGTGTTGCATCCATTTCCCTGGAATGTTCAGACTATAATCCGGTACCGAATATACTTCCAGATGGCTGGAAGTTACCAGAGACAACACATCAGTTTATGTTATACAAATAGTCTTATTTTATTTTTTAAAGAAGTAGAAAAATGTTTGTTTTTTGTCCAGGCTTAATCTAGTGACGCTATTATGAACCTATAGCCCGGCCCCTGCCGCTTGAAGCACGAACTTAACTGACCTCCCCCCCCCCAAAAAAAAAAACCAAGTTAGTTTGTATGATTGCAACGATTACCGAATTCACCTTTAATATGTAACAACTATTCATCAACTCCAGATCTTCTACGGTCCGAGCGAAGCGCAAATAATCGTCGATTATATTCCCGTCACATCAGTTAGAGAAGTTAAGTAGTTCAGGTTCCGAGCAAGGGCGGATCTAGAACACATTTCTTTTGGCGGGGGGGGGGGGGGGACAAAATTTGGCCCCCCAAAAGTGGGTCCAAAATTACGACACAGTAAAAAGGCATGTGCAGAAATTATGTTGTATGTTTGTTGACAATGTTGTATTTCCAATTATCAAATAATATTTTGGTGATCTGTAATTCATTTCAGTGTTGGACCTTCCATAGTAGTTTGCAACGCGTGGTTGGCGAAATGTGCAGTTTGCCAACGAAGCATTGAAAGGTCTATAATATTGTATTATTAATGTTAGGGTCTGATTAAAGACGTGTGACGTAATTGCTTTCAGTTGGATGAAAAACAATAAACGGAGAGCTGGATAATGTTTAATCAAAATTTCGGGAACAAATCCCCTGATTGTCTTAAAGCATAGTATCGTTGACCCTGATAACAGAATGACCATTCTTATAAGTTTCGCTAGATCAGACTATAAGACCCATTGGCGCCATGCAAAGTGGGGTCAATTTTGCATTTAATCAAAATTTTGAGAACAGGAACGAAACCAGTATCATTTGATAGCTTGGAACTTGTGGACTTTGGAATATAACTTAGGAATAATTTTTGATCAGACTGATTAACTTAAATACGGCACGAAAAGCGAAGGAGTGGGCGTGGCCGTCACCCCCTTCTTTTTATTTTCGCTGATACCGTTGCAACGCAACAGTAGAGGAGAAAATGAAACCAGTTTGTATTGATGCCTTAACACTCATGGAATATAGAAATATAACTGAAGAGTGGTTTTAGGTCAGATTACTTAAGAGTGGCGGGAAAAGCACGGAGGGGCGGGACCTCAACTCCCTACCACGTACATTTTGGCTCCTATCGACGCAAGGCATTTATTAAATCCTGCCAAGTTTCTTTCACAGCTGTTCTGCTGTCTTGCAGTAAGTGTGACATCAACTTTATGAAAATTAGGCATTATTTCGTCATGAAATGTCCATTTTCCAACACAGGTAGGCCTAAATATTAACTTGTCCTATTGAAAAGTACATGCACATGAAAGCGTGCATGTCAGTGTCGATTAACAGATTGAATTGAAATTGTGCAAATGTACTACAAAATTTAAATTGGGAAATGAAACCATTTTTATTGATGCCCTGGCACGGTGAGTCAGTCGGGGAGTCAGCCAGTCAGCTGGGGAGTCGGGGAGCCAGTCAGTCAGCCAGTTAGTCCGTAATTTATGGAATTCATAGATTTTGTTTTACATAACTTGGAAAGTGGTATTTGATATGTAACAACTATTCATCAACTCCCGATCTATTCATCAACTCCCGATCTTCTACGGTACGCACGAGCGAAGCCCAAATAAGGCGTCGAATATATTCCCGTCACATCAGTTAGAGAAGTTAAGTAGCTCAGGTTCTGAGCAAGGGCGGATCTAGAACACATTTCTTTTTGGCGGGGGGGGGGGGGGGGGAGGGGGACCCAAAATTTGGGCCCCCCAAAAGTGGGTCAAAAATTACGACACAGTAAAAAGGCATGTGTAGAAATTATGTTGTATTTTTGTTGACAATGTTGTATTTCAAATTATCATATAATATTTTGGTGATCTGTAATTCATTTCAGTGTTGGATCTTCCATAGTAGTTTGCAACGCGTGCAAAATGTGCAGTTTGCCAGCCAAGCATAGAAAGGTCTATAATAAGGGAATAAATGTGTGCTCGAGAGGTTTTAATCACTCTGTTTAAGACTGCTTAGAGTCTGGGTTCCGATAATTACCCGAGCCGGACTGCTTAGAGTCTGGGTGCTGATAATTACCCGAGCCGGAGGCGAGGGTAATTATCAGCACCCAGACTCTAAGCAGTCTTAAACAGAGTGATTAATACCGACCGAGCACATATTTATTCCCATTCATAAATACCTTTTCGGTAAAAGAAAATCATGGAATTCGTTCAAAAAATCCCGATTTTGATCAACAAGTTCACTCCAGCTTTTTTACACATTCCTCTAGCAAATTAATGGAGTCTTCGGCTGGCGAGTAAGATGTAAACAACCCTTTTATGGAGATCGACGCGCGCGTAGCACGTTCTGCGCGATGTTGCGCAGAACGCACCTGGGGCTTTGCGTTTTGAATTTAGACCTATAAAATTCTGACTCACTGGTAGTGTTGCGCATGCCTACGTGAGGATTGTGAACGTTCAACCAATGAAACGGTAAGAGGCACTGGATTTTTAGGAGTCCACTTTTTATGTGACACTGGAAAAGTGTTTAAGAATTACAAATGACTAGTGAAGTGCCTGTCTAAAATGTGCATATTCGGGAAACACAAATTGCTTTGCCGCTGGTATAGGTTGCATACTTGCAGAGTTTTTGAGAACTGCTCGTGCAAACAACGCACA